CCGAGGAAGTGGTTTTTCGCTGCTACAGGTCTGTGCACTGCGCGTGTGAATGCCAGCACTACACCCCATCGGGCAAGCATACCCAAATGTGCGCAGGTCTTGCTACCACACGACGTTGTCTTGTTGATGGTGGTGGTGGCGGCGGCGGTGAGAGATCTGGGTGAACAGTGAGGTGTTGTGGATACTGAAATGGCCGATGTTGCCGTTGAGTCATCCTTCCCAACGCTCGCGATTCCGCTGTTCACTTGACGGTTTTTAGTCTTTGGAGGCTTTTGCACCCTAGGGCAGCGCTGCATGACCATGCATACAGCCTCACCGGTAGTTCATTTGACCTGGTAGCGCAGTTTCCTTTTTCGGTCGAATGCTTCCAGTCGATTCTACACAAGAGACTGATTTAGAAACCCCCGAATCCTTAGTATGCATACCAGGATACGTGTTTCAGAGTCTCACAAACCATGTTTAACTTCAATTTCAATCCATTCTCGGTCACTGGGCGGCATCTTGATTTCTGTTGCTTCGGTGCGTCAGTCAAGTGTCATCCTGCTGGCATATGATATTTACATATACTAAAAAGTATTCCTCTTTGTTACATCACAGAGGTTGATTACAAAATTGGTCTTTGTTTGCGTTTGCTTACCATGATCAATTGAAGGGCTTAAAAGAGTACGAAGTCAACCACGAAAAATTGTGAGAAGGAATTGTGAGTCTATTTTTAGGGGAACTATAATAAGGTTGCCCCAATGTTCTTGGTAGAAAAGACTCTCTGATTACCGTCTTTTTGGTGCGCGTAGATCAACCCAGCTCTCCTACCGAAGAAAGAGATCGGTCGTCCTACGGTCTCCGTTAAGGAGGCCCTCACGGAACCAGTGGAGGCAACGACAAGCGCAGCTATCCTCGACGGTCCCTCTCGGGTGTTTGGCCAGAAACCCGTGGCCACTGGCATTCCTGGAGCCGAAGTTCTCGTTGAGTCGGTTTCTGAAGGGAAGCTTAAGCGCAAACGCAAGCGATCAGGGCGTCCAGCCAAGCGTGCAAACATGGATGCCGGACAGGACGCGCTAGAGGAGGATGTCTCTGAGGACGACGATGCATCAGAGGAAGAAGTAGATTTAGACGATGCTAACGGTAAACAACACAGAATCTTGTTTTCCACAGTTGTTTATTCATTATGAGTGTGCTATTGAGCGTTTTTATTTTTCACTGATATGCTTCTTCTAACAGTGAATTTCGAACTTAGCGGCCTGTCCAATTTTCAATCCAGTAAGGAACTCTTTCCGCCTTGATCCA